TGTGTTACAGTAAAACACAGAGGGCAAGCAAATCTGCCTCCTTCCCTAAGCTGACACTCTGCCACATACTGAGCCCAGGGTGGACACTTTGCCACATAGGGATCCTTAATCACCATGCCTCAGGCTATGATCACATACTGCTCAGCACTGGGCTTTTACACAGGATTTATCTTTCAATTTACTAAGCTTGGGGCACTTCAGCGATACACTGTGGCCACTATTTGTGTCATACAAAGTCATTTTAAAGGAATAGTTTGACTAGACTCTTTGTGAAATAGCCAGGTTAGCTTAGCTTAGCATAAAGACTGGAAACAACAACAAAACTGGTAACAACTAGCCTGGCTCTGTCTGATAGTAACTAAATCAACTCACTAATCAAAAGAATAGCTCAACATCAAGGAAGCTTATTTGCTTTCTTGGAGAGAGTTACATGAGATATTTGATACCATGTTTGTATGGTCAATATGAAGCTATAACCGGCAGCCGGTTGGCTTAATTTAGCAATAAGACTGCCCTACCAGCACCTCAAAGCTCACTGATCAACACGTTAGGTCTCGTTTGTACAGTATCATCTGTACAAGAGAGACTAGGTATTAACGTTTGAGCTTTAGAGGTGCTGATAGGCAAATTGTGGTACATTTCAACAGAGACAGGGTAGTTTCCCTGTGTCTTTATGCTAAGCTAAGCCAATGTGTCCTGGCTGTAGCTTTATATCGACTGTACAGACATGAGAGTGGCATAAATCTCATTTAACTCTTGGCAATAAAGTGAAGACACATATTTCCCAAATGTCAAACTGTTCCTGTAAACTACTAATAGAAACTGAGTATAGTCATAGTTTCAACCCTTGGGATTATGGGTAAGTGAGCTTAAACACTGCCATACGACTACTTTGCATGCACTGTATTAGCAGAATGTGGGAAGGTGAAGTTTTATTGCTGTTGATTAATCGTTCGTACTGATCACCAAAGGAGAGGAGAGGGTTGTCCCTCTCAATCCCCTTAATAGAGGCACTAATGACGAACTCCATTAGTTTATTATATGCTTTTATCGCTGTGCCCTTAGATGACTGTAGCATTTCATTAGACATGTCTGCTTCATATCTCACTTTGCACCCAGAGGAAACTGTGAAGGGATTAATTTTATGATGGACCCCCTGCCTCATCCTGCCTCCCCCTCCTCCTCCTCCTCCTCTTTTCTCCTTCCCTCCTTCCCTCCCTCCCTCCCTCCTCTCCTCAGCTCAGCTCCCAGCCACAGCCAGGGGACCCAGGAGGAATAGTGTCTTTGTCGTCCTGCCGTTTTTTCGGAGTTGAGGAACAAGAGGAGTTTAATCCTCATTGTCCAGAAGACTGCAGAGGGTGAGGGGGGGTCCTCCGGCTGTAAAATGATCCAACTGGCCTCAGCTAATCCCCTCCTAACCCCCACTCCCGGGCCTGACCCCCCTCCCGGCCTTAATTCACGCCCCCGTACTACCACAGTATCGCACTATAAACACAAACACACATCCACCAATGTAGAGCTGGGATTGGATGATCATCTTAAAAACACAAAATCAGGTGAATGATGACACAAATATTGAATGTTAAACTTTTTCACACTTCCTCACACACACACATACAGGATAATAATGTCATTCATAGTTATGCAGTAAGTGGTTTAGGGGGGTATGTTTAAGTGGGATTTAACTTAATCACCTACACATAGGCTTAATCAAGAAGTAACTCATCTTCCACTCTGGGGATCCTCGAAACCAGCAGAGGTGTCTAATCAACTAAGACAACCCCCCTACACACACTCTCTTCCCATTATAACCAGTGTATGTGTGTGGTATTTTTGTGAGTTATTTGAAGAAAAAGACAAACTGCCTGATTTTGTACGTCTAACTGACCGTGATGACAATGTATGAATATATAGTGACAGAAAATGAACAACAAACAGCCTCATGTCACCATTAGCGTGATGACGCGTGTGTCCGTGCACAAGCATGTGTGTGGATATGTGTGGGTTGGCAAAAAATAAAAACCAATAAATAGCCTCGTTTTATTGTTCTTCTCATTAGCTGAAGGATTATTCCAAGATTAGACAGGACAGGGCTGGACATCTATTTGACGTTAAGTCTTTCTCTAACAAGACGGATGCTCTCCAGTCTGCACAAATCTTCTCCTTTGAATTTTCCTACCTTGCGCAAGACCCCTCCCTCCCTCTCAAGCTCTCCCGTTCTGTCTTTATTTCTCCTCTGTTTCTCTCTCCCCTCCTCTCTTTATTTTTCTGCGCTCCTCCCTGAGTGACAGCTCAATACCCAGCTCTCCCAGGCTTATCTAGCCTCAGCAGATGGTTGACTTGGATCACTGTTCATACGCCACGATCTGGGCTGGTGATAAAGACTGTTACAGAGGGAATATATGCTATCTCTCCCTAGCTTGCTCTTTCTTCCTTTTACTCCTTCTCCTCTCACCTCCTCTTGATCCACACTGTCATTTTCTCCCTCTCCATCCATCCCTTTTCAACTCATCTCCTTTATTCAGTTTTCCATTTCTACCTGGACCTGTCTACTCTTCTCCTTGTTGTGTCCTCCACCTTTCCCAACTGTGCTCTTTGTCCCACCACCCACACCCCCTCCATCCCCCCCTCTGTGTCTCCTCATCTCCCTCCATCCCTCCATCTCTGCGCATTGAATCTGGTGCTGCGTGATTGTCTCTGCCTCCCTGCTGGGCTGGCGCCTGTCTAAAGGGCCCCAGGACCCTCACACACTGAGGGTCTCCAGCCATGCCAGAGATGCCCTCTCTCTCCTCTCCTCTCGCCTCCTCTCCCCTCATATCAGTTCATCTGGTCCCTCTTCATCTCCACAGGACATAAGAAAAGGTCAAACTGTGTCTCGTTCAGCTCTTCTCGCCCCTCTTTGTAATCAAAGTTTCACATACAAGTCTGTAAGTGCATATTTGTCAAACATCTATTTAAAAAGCTCCAGTTAACCGCTGCAAATTGTTTTGAAATGATAAATATATGAGAAAAGTACAATAAGTAAACAGTAACCTTCAAAGTGCTGCAGCTTGAAGCTTTTCTAGACTCACATCTACTGTTTTCATTTGTTTCATTCACATGATCACCACATTTAAACAACTGATGTACACTTCACAGGCTTGAATTGGCCATTTTATGTATACTTCACTTGTCTGGATTGTTTATTTGATGTCCTCCTCACATGTTTTTCATTCTACACAGCCAACCAACAAAGCAAAAGGAAAGGGTATAGCTGCCACGCATAGATGAGAAAAGGGACTGAGTGCTGGGAGCGATATGAATGAGAACATACAACACAGCATCTTGTATGGCAACGGGGAAACGGACTGGCAAAAACATCACTTGCACACACCATACATTAGATCAGCTCTGTGTAATGTGTGCCAGTGTAATATGAGAGGGAAAAGACATGAAAGCAGGCTGAAATCCTGTGAATATAAGGTGGTTTCTTGTGGAAAATGCAATGAAAAGACGTTCAAATGTATCAAATAATAAGCGTAACGATGCCAGCATGGGCGTATACAGAGCTGCCATCCCATATGTGGTGGAAAACCTCCTCCCCTGTGATTCACTGGTGGCTCTCTCTCCCTCCCCAATACTCCAGACAATTTGAAGCCATCTTAATCTGAACGGTGGAATCTGGCAACCACACAGGAGCACCTGCATCCGTCCAGCCTGACCCGCTTTTGTTCTGGTCCGACCCCCTAACTTTAGCCCCTAATTAACCCAACAGAAACTAATTAAATACAGCTCTAGTGGACCAGACGCCAGACCAAAAAAAAAAAAAAGAAGGAGGAGGACATAGGGAAGTGAGCAGAGTGAGGAGAGCGAGCCAATGCGACAGGCAGGAGTAGGAGAGAGGGGGAAATAAAGCTGGAGATCCAAAGGTTGGCCTGCAGCCCCTGAGACCGGTTCAGACAGACAGAAAGACGGGGAGAGAGGTTCGAAGGAGGAGGGTATTTGGGTGTCATTGTCAGCTTGGGTTGTCACCATGTTGCCACTCTTTTCTGAGCTCCATGCTGACCTTATACTTTTTTACATGCTGTCGTTTTTCAAGGTATTTTTGATTCTTCCTCATAGATGAGTATGGTTGCCAACTGCTGTAATCACAAGCACACCAGTCACATGACGCAACTGACGCCCTGGAGATATTTGGAAAAGGGTAGAGACAGGATGGGGACAGCCACGGAGAGAGAAGAACAGCGTAGAATGAAAGCAGGAGGGGAGAAAAAAAGAAGGAGGAGGAGGGAGAAAAGGAAGGTACGAGACAGGATTGTGAGAAAGAAGATATATAAATATGGGCTCAGACCAGCCAAGTGTCTCTGGCAAGACACTGATGCTCCTAGTCCCAGGCATAGCTCGCTAAGTGATAGAGAAAGTAATTAAGAGAAGCCTGTTCAAGTAGATAGGCCTGTAAAGGAGATTTGAAGAGGGGGAACTGATTGTGCATGTCTGATTCCAGCTCTTCAGAGAGTTCTCAGCCCCAAGGCTTAGCTTTCAAAGGGCCGTCTCTCTCCCTGTGTATCTCGCCGTCTCTTTCTCTGTAACATATATGTACAAACAAAATGTGACTCTCCTTCTTCCCACATATCAAGCACACATGTTCAAGGTAGCTGAATGTAGGATAGAGGACAAGGTGTCTCTCATAGCATCTTGTTTACCATCTACCTATCTATCTATCTATCTATCTATCTATCTATCTATCTATCTATCTATCTATCTATCTATTGCACTTTTAAAGTTCACACAGTGTCTTTCCCAAATAGTTATCCACCTCTGGGTACATGGACATTGCTTGAGGTTGTGATAGAGCAACACTGCCACCTATGATGGGCTACACCACCCTGCAGATAAACTTGGACTAAAGTAAGTCACGCGGTCTCAGTCTTTGAGGTTGTTTCCAACTGACTTGAGTTGCATGATAATGTTTTGTTTTTTCATTGTCCTAAATATGTTTTTTTTTTTTTAAATCCAAACTATTCACCAGACATTTCACATTTCTTTTAATTCACAAGAAGGCTCCCAGCGTTACAGCGAGATATAATTCACACTGTTCCACCATTGGGACACAGACACAGACAGACATATCCCTGAAACATAGATAGTTTGTTTTATTTATGCTGTAAATAAGCACTGAAAAGAGTTTTTTTAACTCTTATACATTATTGAATAAGAACTAAATAGAAAATTACACCTCTTTCTTCTTCTGTTTTCATATGTATGAGAATCAGCACTGAGTTTAATGTGAGTCTTACATTGGTGAAGTGGAGTTCTGGGGAAAGTTTTCTGAAAATAGAAAATCAACAACTCACCAGAACTGACTTTGGCTACAATGCTGTTAACAAACTTAAATAAAAACTGTTCAATGTTAATGGACAATTAAATTGATAATAAATGACTTATTCCTAGAATAGATCTTCCTGCTTCCCAACATACTACACATAATGAGTAAGTCGAGACTGACGACCACCCACCTAGAGCCGAAGGATCTGTCCTAGGTTTCTGCCTTTTAACAGGCAGTTTTTCCTTGCCCTTGTCGCCAAGGTCTTGCTCATGGTGGTACTGTTGGGTCTCTGTAATTAATGTTATAAGGAGTTTGGTCTCGACCTGCTCTATTTGAAAAGTGTCCTGAGATAACTTCTGTTATGAATTGGTGCTATACAAATAAAATTGAATTGAATTGAATTAAGTGTCTGTCAGAATGAAAGATTTAAGTTTTATTGTTCTTATTTAAAAAAAAAAAAAAAGTCTATTCTTATTTTATTTTTCTATCCTTCTAATTGTGTGTTTGACACTTCTCTTTTTACTGTATTTATTTCTTCCCTTGTGCTGCTGCAACACCTGAATTTCTCCTCTGGGCATCAATAATGGCTGATTTTATCACAGACACAAAGGAAATGTATATCCAATACTACTACACACAAAACACATGTTCTTACAAGTTTGCTTTTCATTTAGGTGCACTTGAGTGGAAAATACTCTGCTTTTATCCTGGATTTATTTTTCATAATAGTTATGTGTCCAGTGCTTGTTCTGATTGACACGTGCATGTGGAGGAACGACTGCAAAGAAAAAAGAGATGAAAAAGAGGTGAGATCACACAGGGGAACCATGCAGAACAATTATTAATTAAATTACCAAAGCTGTTATTGAACATTTTAATGTTTTCTTTTTATAGGCCAATGTGGGAAATGCACATTTTTAGATTTAGTAGTCAATGTATTGATTTGGTGATGCCTTTGTGTTTGTCTGAGTTTCAGGTATGATGATCAGAGGTCAGATTAATACAGTCAACTGGGCTCTACACAGTAACATTAAAGGGACATTGTACTGGGGACATTATAGTACGGTATTTGACATAAGATTAACATCTGAATGAATGACTGATTGAATCAGCTTCGTCAGGAGATCATCTATGGTCCTTCTGTTCACCTGGTGGTATATAATGCAGGGCACTCTGAGAGTCCTTTCAGAGAACAACCATGTCGAGGTCTTTAATTTGTAATTAACAATGAAGGGTTGTATAATGAAATGTAATACATGACGGTATCACATTACCCTTATATGTACTGTACTTTGCTCTTACTCATCAAACCACTGTGTCACTTGACTTGAGACAGTCCTGCAGGATCAGTTTAAGTGCAACAGTGTTCATGGGTGGACTATCATCAACATGGCCACCAAGCTTAACTAAACCAAACCAAAGATCCTTCACATGTTCTGCTCACAGCTGGATGTTACTCAAGATAAACACACATACCTCGGAACAAACTGTGCTCTCAAGGATGAGGACTACCCAGCTAACTGATAAGGCCAAAGGAGCTGATCTCCTGGCGACATCTACTGGAGAAACTGCAGTGGTGTTGTTGCAAAGGAAAATAAAATAAAAAAAACATGTCGTCCTCTGCTGGTGAGAAAGCAAATCAACAGGGCTGTGAGCCTTTCAGTATACCTACAACAGCTTCCTAAATCACATTTTAAACCTTTATTGTTGAGGCAATTTCACAATTTAAAGTTGTCCAATATATACAAGGATATAAATTCAAACTCTGATTGTGTGAAAGTTTTAAAAGAAGATCTATAAGAGCAGTGCATACAACTATCTTTAAACAGAACGGATCATCTCCTTTTGTCAATAATTTAACTATTTTGCTGAGTAAAATCCTGTAAATAGAGAAACAGACCTCATGATTGTGATTTAACAATTTTTGCTAGGGTTTTAAGTAGAGGAATATGTTGAGGGGGAATAAAAAATTACTATACATCAAAGTAAAAGTATAAATATTCACGACATATCATCTTTTTATCCTAATCTTCCTTAGTTTGTAAAGTATTCCTTGCTTTTGTTTTCACATTCTTGCTTCGTAAATTCAGTTATTGCAAATAAGAGTTAATAAAATCACACACTGAACAGGGGGAATTACTTCATTTAAATGGTAAGTAAAATACACAGACTAATTGGTCCTGGTGTCTGAAAAATAAAAAAATAAAAAAACCTGCCTCTGTCATGCGTTACACCGCTGTCGTAAAACGTTTCTGTCTGCTGTTGCAATGGCGTTTGCTGCGACAGCACTTTGCGGCAGCAGGGAAATCGAGGAGAAAGCAGCGACAAACGTCGCCAGCGGATACGTTATCGCCTCAGAAACCATTGGATTTATGTAATATTCGGTGAACTACCTTGTATATTGATTGTATATATCTTCGCCTTGTGGATGAGATTGTGTTCAACGTTTTCCAAGCGTCAATCTCCACCTTAATGCGGTGGGATGGCCACAGTGCCGCCTGGGCCTAGTAGCGCACTGCCTGCATCCCCGGCTGAAATTCCTCCTTTCCCCGGGGCTGGGAGCGCGGAGCCGGCGGGGGAACACGGAGAGCCGGCCTGCCACAGGGAGGACTGTGTGTCCGCCGATACGGGGAAGAAGTCGCAGCCGTTGGGCGACGTCACAACGTCGGTTAAGAATAAGCAGAAAAACATGCTAGCACGAGCTAGCCCGGCGGCGCTGCACCTCAAAATGCAAGCGCGAGAGCAGCAGCTGAACGGGTTGTCCGGTCCCTCAGAGGACACTGACAGCCGCCAACACACAGGAAACCGGCCTGACAACCCGAGACCGTCCGTGGACAGCTGTGATAGCAGCGGCAGCAGCGAGGAGGCTCCAACTGCTAGAAACAATAGTGAGCGTTGCCAACACGAAGGCCACAGCCCCTTCTCCAAAAACGGCAGTCACTCTCCGCTGGTTAACAATAGCATGAACGGGATGCCGGGTTTCACAAGAACTGAGGCGGCCCACAGCCACCCTGGGGACGAAGGGAAGGGGGAGTTTGACCACACGGAGCCACCGAGACCGCCGAGCGTCGAGCCGCCGGACGCTGCCGGGCCCGGCGGACTGGGGAGCCCCGCTGACCCGCAGCAGCAACCGCCGGTCGAGGAGCTGGCCCGGCTCGACCTGAGCGGCTCTCCCGGCCGAGCGGAAGAGGATAGCTACGGCATCCGCTATGTCCGCTACGAGTCCGAACTTCAGATGCCGTGGATCATGAGACTGATCACCAAGGACTTGTCTGAGCCTTATTCAATTTACACGTACAGGTACTTCATCCACAACTGGCCGCAGCTCTGCTTTCTGGTGAGTACGACACTGACACAATCGCAATGTGAAGAAAATGACAGAATTCACTCTTTAACTAAAAGTCTAAATAAAGTGGGAGCTACCCCCGAGCCCATGGGCTGTAGTTACCTGAAGTTGAATAGCATTATTGGGACTGGGTGTGACTGCATGCTCCTGTCAGTGTGTCTCAAAGGCAGCCAAACACTGTGCAGCTGATATGTGCTGAAGATAAATGCACACATGTAAATGTCCTGACTGATGGCACAAAGGTTTGGAGTCTTCTATCACAAATCCTTGTTTGTTTTGTGGATTTCAGACTGAAGTAATAGCTGTCCAATTGAGTAAATGTTTGACTGACATGACGATATCCTCTCGTAGTTCATCACCAATGTCTGGATCTTTTGTCCAGTCAAATGTGTGCAGGAATTTAAGGGCAAGCTAAGTTTTAAAACCTTTACTTTCCAGTATTCGTTAAGAGCAATGTGCTTAAAGTAGGTTCCTCTTGCATCCACACTGTCCAATCAGGGGTTTCTACTTTTAAAAACACTGTCCTCCCCTGGTCATTTCTTTGTTTATCCTCTGAGCCTCAAGGTCGTAAACTTCCTAGTTCCAGTTTGTCTGGAACGCCACATGTGACATAAGAGGAAGTGCTGTGAAATAAAGGTCAGAGGTCAAATCAGACAGCGCCAGCAGAACTGGCTGGATGACAGCAACTGTACAGGAACTGTTGCACGCCTTTCAGCTGCCACCCCAAGTAGACACTCCTAACCTTACTGTTGTGTGTGTGTATGTGTGTCACAGGCCATGGTGGAGCAGGAGTGTGTCGGAGCCATAGTATGTAAGCTTGACATGCACAAGAAGATGTTCCGTCGTGGCTACATCGCCATGCTGGCCGTGGACTCAAAACACAGAAGGAAAAGCATCGGTGAGATGTCCCGTACAGAACAAACTCAAGAACTTAGTGCTTTCATAATGTGGAGCTGATACCAAGTTGAGCAAGAGCTTCTTTTGTGCTCTCCTTGACAACCAAATCTCTTTATGCAAATGCAGCATTTAGATAAGTTAGTGTATTCAAAAGGAATAGTGTATTCCTTTTGCCTTTCTTATACTATCAGATATCAAGCCTGAAAATTAGAAGAAGAAAAACGTGTTTTCTTAAAAGTTTGTGTTTTGTTTACTTGCCTGACATCACTGACTTTTGGCTCTTCTTTGTCAGGTACTAATCTGGTGAAGAAGGCCATCTATGCCATGGTGGAGGGTGACTGTGACGAGGTAAGATGCCGAGACTGGAGGACACGTGTCTTCCCTTTTTCAAACCATATTTTAATCTATCCAGAGAATATTTTAAGTTTTTGAAAAAAGGCTTAAACACACGTATGGGCTTGTGCCAACACGCACAGGCTTTGTGCCTGACATTGGCACACATTCACAAGTTGTATGCCAGCATACTCACTCAAATTGTTAATGTAGTCAGTAGACCACAAGACAGTCTTGCATTTACTGAACCAGATTGTACATTAAAAGAAGAAGAAACAAAAAATCCCTGGAAAATACAGTTAACACACAAAATGACAGCACATTGGAAAATTATTAAAATAAACCTTTTGCGTGCCTTTGGGTCCTTTGTTTGAGTTTAGTGTTGGCCTAACACCAAAGCCCCCTGTGTGAGCATGAACCTAAAGAAAACCAAAAGGAGCAAAAAAAAGTGTTATATAGTGTTTCAAGGCACACCTTTCTTTCTCTGTCCTTCACTTAGCTTGCTGTTAACCTTGGTTCGATTGTCAGTTACTTTCAGTATCTTCCCTGTACTACAAGCTATTTCACTTGCTCTGCTTATCCCTGAATTGCTGCACACTCACTCACCTGCTTCTTGCACACCCAATACACACCGTAGATCCTGAAACCTCCAGACGTTTGAGGTGGAAATTAGATTCCGCATTTATCTCTCCCCTGTCTCTTTGTTGACTGAGACCAAAGGACTGACACCGTGATTCACCACAGTAATACTTTTTGGTGTGATTGTGTTCACACAAGGCTACGTGCTTTTATAGAAAGATAAATATAGAATATTGACTAAAATGCATTACTTAAAGCTACTGCCAACAGTTGTTTCAAGGCATATCGTAACATTTTAAAGACTTCCAGGCCCCATTGGCTTGTGGCTTTGTTGGTGGCTCTCAAATGCTTGTAGGAAAATCTCCCTGACTATAAAATTCTGTTTGTCTAAAGTGTTAAGTTTCCCAACTGCTTATAAATGCAGAGCCTGTCATCAGCAAACATTTACAACTTAAATGTCAAACCTTCCTTGAATGCACAAACGAGAATTTACTGAACCACCCCTTCTTGCAGCTGCATTACAAAATAATAACATATGTGACAGTATGTTGCTCAGTGTCACTACAGTGGCATGTTTAAAGCAATGTTTGCTTGATTGGCAAATTGTAGTGCAATGAATGGAAACTACTAGCTGCTGGGAAGGGAGGAAACCATTGTGATAACTTGTATACACGTTAAAAAATGGTAGTTAGCAAAGTTCACAGTGTTTATGAAAAATACTCGACCCCTCTTTGAGTTTTATATTGCGCAGTATTGAATCAAAGTGGATCTCATTGGAGTTTTTTTTTTTTTACGTTGCCATTCATTTTGTTGTCTCCACCAAACATTGACTCATTGATGTACTTGAATACTTCTATTTAATTATGCTTAATATAGTTGAGGGTTTCTGTTCATCAGTGTAAAACAAATCCACTGTAATTGTGTGTTTTTAACAGAAACTGAAAAACAAGGTTGTTGAATAATAGGCGCTGTCCATTAACAGTAATACTCCAACAGTTCAAGAGGTCTGTTTATTTTAATATTTATATATCTTTTTTACTTTTATTCAGGAGATAAATGTTGACATTGTTTTTAATAGGTGTTCTCACAGAAGACATTTTCTCATGCCACAGTGGGAAAAGCACTGGTGTAAATAATAACGTTAATGCTGGTTGAATTTCCCTGCTCCTTGACAGCAGTGGGGGACATGTAGCTTAGCTCAGACATAAAGGTGTATTTCAACTTCAATCAATTGTCTTTGTATGTGTGTAAATCTAGAGATAGAACACGAGATGTTGTTGTGTAATTAGCGGCTAGCTTACTTACTGAAGCTATTCTTGACCAACAGCCGCTGACCCCCCAAACTACACACAGTGTGTCTGACGTCATCTGCCTTAAACCTAATTTGCTGGCTTTGCATACTTTTATAATTATTTACAAAACCCAGCTGACTTGTCTTGGAAGTATCTATGACTAGCTTGCCAGCCAACAAGATACAACATGAAACTAAAACAGGTTTAGAGTTGTGGGGATGAGTATGTTTTGTTTATTGAGGTTAAACCTAGTGCTTAGCTTAGGATAAACAACAAAGCTATCACTGCACTGAACCAGCAGAGATGAAATTGATATTGATCCCATGACAGCAAGTAAGTTTATTTCCAGTAATGTTTTATTTTTCTTTAATGGGATAAAACATGCAAAACTACTCCTGAGGGTACCCAAACAGTCCACAACAACCAAATACATCTTTTATGCCAGGTTCTGAGAAAGTAGTAAACCTTTATATAAAACCTTATCAGTCCACTCATGTACACAACAACGTACTGACATGGCCCTCTATGTGTCCCCCAGGTTGTATTGGAGACTGAAATCACCAACAAATCAGCCCTGAAGCTGTACGAGAACTTGGGGTTTGTCAGAGACAAGAGGCTGTTCAGATACTACCTGAATGGAGTGGACGCGCTGCGGCTCAAACTGTGGCTCCGCTAGAGGAAAGAAGAGGGGGACAGGGGAGGATGGGACAGCCGGTGCTGTTCACCTCAAACACTATCAGCTTGACAGCCTCAGCTCTGCCCTGGTCATTTCACTCTTCACACACACACACACACACACATTCACACACATTCACACACAGTACACACACAGCACACACACAGCAGTATGCACATAGGTATGCATAGACACGCAGACACACCCTCTTTTTGTCCTTGACCTCTGAACAACTGTTGTTTAGGCAGAAACAGACTGACATCCCACCTGATGCTTTCATGAAGGGGCCCCTGATACTTTCTGTGACGAGGAGGGGGGCGCGTGAGGGTGGTCTCTGGGATGACCTCGACTGGGGGACTAGTTGACCTTTGTGACCTTCAAGCTTGGATGCCACATTGACCGCGACGCGAGGTGTGAGACAGCTCAAGTGAAGACGTGCGTCCGAAAACCCCCAGAGGACATGGAACCACACCAAATCCTCCTGCAGAACACAGGACAAACACAGACTTAAAGAAAAACAACACCATGTGAAACAAGGAAGCAGGGCGGTAAAAACAGACTGGGAAGAAAATATTTGTGGAGTTTATTTTTGTGTTTCTTTTTTAACCTTGTAATTTGGACGGTTGATGGAAAAGCTATAGTATGACTGAGTGTTTGTACCGCCTCATGTTTTTTTTTTTTTTTTTTTTTGGAAAACAAGTGTTTGGCCTGTTTTTGTGTGCATGTGTATGTGGCGTGGTTGGTTTCACTGTGAGCAAGTGAACGTGTTTGTGTGACTGTGCGTCGTATGTTTTCGTCTCCCCCATCCTGTCCAGTGGGCGCAGCTGCACCCTGCTGCTGTTTCCATCACCTGCCTCAGCCTCCAGGACTGAAGCCTGTAAAGATATGCATGCATTTATTTTAATGTGAGTGCGGGGCGAAAAAGCGTGAAGAGTGTGTGTTGATTTAACCAGTCTAACCAGTCTGAGGCTAACCCCTCCGAATCCTTCCCTGTGTTTGGGGTAAGCATGTTGGTGCGGAGCAGTTGATCGAAACAAATCAATCCATTAGCACCTCAAACTTTGCCCAACTGGTGGAGCTTCCACCTTTTTTTGCTTCAGTGTCCTTCACTAAATCTCTCATCATCAAACCCTGACAGTATGGGTGGGTGAGTTTTTGTTTTTCCCAAACGCACTGCCAGCTGCTGCAAAATCCCTAAAAAGGAGAAAATCGGAGTCTCTCACCATAGACTCCTTGCCAATGATGGTGTGGTCAAACGTGTCCTCTCAGTTTACTCCTTTTTACATTATTCATCTGTTTCTCCTCATTGCAAGTGCCACTCGACGCATCAACACTCTTGGACCACAACTGCAGTGATCACACAGCAGCCTCGGCCCCCCGGCTCTGGACTGCGCTCGGCACCAGACCAGAGGCGAAGTGTTACATATGCTGGATTCCTGTTTGAGTATGCTGTGTGCGTGTTTGTGTTTAGCTCTTGATAAAAAGGAAAAAATAGACAAGTATTCTTAGCAGATTATATTTTATTCTTGTGTTTGCTTTCAGTTTATTTAGATTGTCTACTTTACACCTGTATAACTTCATGCTGCTCAAAAGCGGCTGAGTCCACAATGCACTTCCCAGGTGCCCTAACTCGATGCACAACCAACCTCGCTAACATTTTAAGATCTCCAGCCTGGAACACGTCATAGATGCACCCGGACGTTCCACTCCACACTAATTATGGCAAAGAAAGTTAGCTTCAGCCGCTTTTTGTTTTTTCTTAAAAAGTAAAATGAACAAAGGTCAGATGCACATCTTTGGAAATTGCTGCAGTGTGTATGTGTATGTATGAAAGTGTCTGTGTGTGTGTGTGTCTTGTTATTTTGACAGCGGTGTGGATCTGTTCTGTTTGACTTTGATTTCTCTACTTTCAGAGGCCCCGCGCAGGAAAATCAGAGCCTTTTGAGGTGTTGTGCTTTTGCTCCAGCCTAATAAGAACAACAGGAAGGAACAAATCACACACTTTTTAAAAAAAAAAGCTTTCCTGAATTGGAGTTAGTAATTAATGCAAAAGAAAGGGCAGCAGACAGTTGGGTTGATCGTTGAGGGGGACAATAAACCTTAAATCAAATATTTGGAACAACCTACGTCACAAGTTGTAAATGCAATTTTTTTAAGTAAACTTCAAATTATGCAATTGGACATCTGTGTGCTTTTATCCTGCCTAAATATTCAGAGTAGAAAGCACTGTGAGACACTGCCACGTGGCACAACTGAATCAGAGTAAAATCTGCTACAAGATATTGACTATAGAACAAACTCTGTCTCTGGGAAGCATTTATGGTAGTCAGATGCTATAATGATTTAAGGATCAATGAGCAAGTCTTTATGAATGACACTACAGGGTCCTGTCGGTTTTTTGGGTTTATTTCCCCTTTCAGCAGTTAATCAAAGATATGTCATCCCCAGGAGCCGAGGACTGAAAGGGAGAGTAGATGTTTACAGAGTTTCCACCAACAAAACAGTCCCAGTATGTAAGTGTATGTGTGCATTTAGAGCAATGGATCAGATGACCTATATTTCTTTCTTTTTTTTTTTTTTGTTTTTGTTTTTTTCAGATTTGTATATGAGTGTTGTTCTATTCATCAGATATATTGAGAGCATGTTTTTTTTTTTTTTTTTTTTTTTTTTTTTTTTTGGAGAATCATTTGTTGGGAAGGGGGCGGTTTGGGTTGATTTATCAGATTTGATTTTTATTTTTAATTTCTGTGCTACTTTAGCCCATCCAGAGGTGTTAGGAGAATTCTGAGCAGTTCATAGTGGGCATATGAAAGTGCTCTAGACCCCAAACACCGACTGTTTTTACTGCTCATCTGACACTCTATTTCAATAGTCGCCATGTGTAAACGCCTTCTGGTTTATTTTGGAGGTTTAAAATCCTCTGTCCCTGTGTTGGACACTCGTTTCCCCTCTTCTGTGTCCCATCACTGTCCCAGCCTTTTCTTCTTCTTACACTGAGACTACTTACGAATTAAAGGACAGGATAGGTAACACCTTACAAAATTAGCCTCCTTTAAACTAGTCATCAGTACAACGGGGTGTTTTAAATTTTGAAGGAAAAGGGTCTGTTATCTTCTTTTTTTGTTGTACTCCTGTGAAACTCTGGCAGTTCCATTAGGTATATGGGCATTACAGCCTGTCACAAAGAGCCAAAGGGCTCTGTTTGGACCATGATCACAGACTGAAGGGCTTCGTCATCAATATCAGTTTGTAGCCATGGCTTGTGATGTTGCATAGTTTTCTCAGCTCTCTCTGACAACGCATTTGGAATAAGTTTTGACTTGACATGCCAGTTCAGTGTTCACAGATGTCAGAAGCAGTTTTTTTTTTCCTCATTCTGGACCTCCACTGCACTATCCAGGTGGCTGATTCTAACAATCACAACCCCACTTCTCTGTCCTCACCTGGGGCGACATCTGCCATCCTACATTTTGAGTGTTACAATCATGAACTCCCCCAGAAACCAGTTTGTTAGTCAGATAAACAAGATTTATCTTGGCCTGCGCCACAAAAAGCTGTGGTCCCTGCAACCAAACAACCACAGGGGATTCCTGCAGTCTTTTCAAGGCGGCCAGCACTGCCTCCATCCACGAAGTGTGCAAAGGGGAGAGCAAAAGGTTTTTTTGCATGTCAGATTTCTGTTTGCCCTGTTCCTCTTCCCTGTCCCCCTCTCTTGATTTTGATCTGGAAATGTCCGATAGCTTTTATTTAATGTGGAAAAAGAACACAGAAATAAATTATTTGATTTTTTTAATGCTGTAAACTGGGTTATCTTGTCTGCTGTCTGGAGTGGTTTTCATTTAAAACAATCCACACTTTTAAGCTGTATTATAAGAAAGAGTCTCAATCAGACATCTAAAAGAATTGTTTATTTCATCACATCCTGTTTTGTATCTACATAAAGAGACAAAAGTGTCCACTATTTTACACCACACTTACCCTAAAACAGTATTATTGCATATAAACAGGCAGTTGTACATAAAGCGTATGAGATGGCTCATGAAGTTACAGAAAATATATTTAAACAAAAAGACAAGACCGTTATCGTCATTTGTGTTACAAATGCGTAGTGTTCAAATATTTCTTGCACCTTCTTTCTGATTTAAAGCAGAGAAGTTTTTATTAAATGATTCCTCTTATTTTCTCCTAAAATGTAAAGACTGACTAAAATTCATTGCATCTCAGCAATGTAACATTCTTGGGCCAAGCGTGTCGGCCAAAATGTCTCTTATCTGTCCTTGTCTGGACCATATTAATACACAGAAACTAATATTTTGCAAAATTAGTTGGTTAAAAAAATTCACTTGTGAAAATATTAAGTTCTGCCCCAGTGTCTTTGTGCTTTTTCAGCCAACAGAAACACTTCTAGCATTAGAAAGAAGTCTGAAATGGGTCTGTGTATGAATAGACATAATCATGCACTTATAAAAGAACCATTTGGCAAGTCGCAAAATAATGACTTAATATCAGAGTTATATTGTACATTAAAACCTGTTTTATGCTACATACTTTTGTAGGATTATGATATTTTGTATGTGCGTCTCACAGTAACATTTATGAACAAATGCCTTTGAATAAAACATTTACATTTCCACAAAGTTCACATTTAAACGAAGCATTAATTGAAATGAATTCTATGTGTGGGTTTCTAAAATGTGGAAATCTTGCTTTAAGAAATAGTTGAGCATTTTGGGAAACACGTTTATTCCCTTTCTTGCAGAGATTTAGATGAGAAGACCAGTACAACTCTAATTTCTGTCTGTGATAAATATGAAGCTGTTACAGCCAGGAGACGGTTAGCTTAGCTTAGCATAAAAACAGAGGAAAACAGCTAGTCTGGGTCTGTCCCAATGTAATAAAATCTACCAGCACAGTTAAAGCTGTCTTTTTGTTATGTTATATATTATTAAGAAGTATTAAGATAACCAGCAGAGACTCCAGGAAGTCACTGCTCCCAGTAACAGTTCAACATACAACCCCAAACTGTCATTTTTGTACTTAATTTTCTGTATGGGTTAAACAAACATGTCTACTAGTGATCTTTTAGGGGTCGGGTAGGCCGGTTTTGGTACCTTTGGGCAGAGCCAGGGTAGCTGTCCCCCCCCCCCCACACACACAGTCTTTATGCTAAGTTAAGCTTACCGGCTGTTAGCTCCAGCTATTGGACGAATGGCATCAATCTCTTCATCTAACTCTCAGCAATTTCCCAAAATATTAAACAATTCCTTTAAATATCCTAAATAAATAAGAAATAAAAAGTGTATTTACACTAACAAGACTGACCCCAAATCAGCTACTTATACAGTAGCCTACATATATCTACATTGTTTATGTAATGTAACTCTTCTACAGCCCTTTTTAATTTCCGGTCCTCACTTTCCACCTCAACTCCACAAAGCCAAAACCTCAATGTACCAGAAACACTTCCATCCTGTCAACACCCTGCTAATGCATTTAGTTTTTTATGCAATATTATTTTTTATGTCAGTGTATCACACCAGTCCTGCCGAGCCATTAGAGTCAACGTCACCTGACAACATTCAGAAAAGTGCTCACATTGGTACTTTTAGAAAGGGGGAATACAAAGCTGACCTTTGTGCAGCCTGTGCAAATTGTGCCCTATACTCAGTCACACTCTGTGGATCAGATGAGTTATAGCCAAACAGCCCAGGGTGATTGGAGATGCGGTAGTCATAGCGATGGGGGTGTTCGCCGAGCCTCCTTTACAGGAGCATCAGCCATTGGTCACTGACAAAAGGAGCCCAAAACGGTCTCATCAGAATTCATCCTCGGAGCTGTCGGCCAGCAGCATGGCCTGGTCCTGACGGCTGGTCCCAGGCTCTCGAGGTTGCTGGAGAGACAAATAAACTTAATTCTCAACTCAATGTAAGATTGTTGACCAATAACAACTAAAACAAGTAAAAAGTGGTAAATACAAGTAGGGTAGTGACCTCTGGCTGTCTGACCTTCCTCCTCTGGTGTTTGAAGCTGTTTCTCCTTTTGCGGTGAATCATCCTGATGCTGTAGAGGGCACCTACGATTAGCAGGGCCCCAGTGATGCCAATACCCACAGGGGCCAACATCCCAGACACATAACCCGCCTGCCGAGAGACGCAGAGGTTAAATGGAGCCGACACGTAAACATGTCCGATCCAGGTAAATCCATTTAATCTCTCTTGTACCCGAAACTGGTCTCTGTAGATTTTAGCTAATGTTTCTCAGACTGGAGTATATGGTTAATTTGTTATGGACTACTTTCAGCCGCGGATTAATACACATTTGGTTCCCATAGAGATAATTTTTGGTAGCAGGACTTACTTTTTTATACATTTTTAAAATTCAAATAGTGTTTTTTTGTTTCTTTTGTTTCAGTGTTTCCTTCTTCTGGCCCTTGGGCAAATGTAGTTGAATTTTAATAGTTTTTGGACAACAAAGAAGCTCTATGGCACAAAGAAATAAGATACATCATGCTATGGACACCGAGGTAATACTTGTTAGTAGGATACATTTATTGTTAATGTGAATCTTTTCATTGCATTTATTGACAGTGAGAAAAATAGAGAATGTTGCCAGATTATTCCTTAACACCGGTTAGTGAAGGAGTGAAGGAAACTGTCATTTTTGATTGACAACCAAGATTTTTCAAGGACAGCAGGGGGCAGTCTCACCTTTTCTCTGATCAGCTCTACCCAGCTCCGCACTGGAAGAAAAGAGTCACAGATTTAGCAGAGCAACATCCTATAAAACTATTTCTCCCTTGTACAGGTAGCAGTTTAAATGTTTCTGCCTTTCAAGTGAGGGTATGAGCATTAAATACATCCTGTTAAATTCCTAGGCTTATAAAAAGATTTAGAAACCACGTTGTCATACTCAGCCCCTGGTTGCGTTGAACCCATACAGGAGGTGGAGGGATGAGGCTGTACGGAGGAGGCGTTGAGGATGTTTTAGGTGTTTCTGTTAGGTCCTCTTCACTGTCATCCTCCACTGACTCCTCAGAGTTCTCATCATCCTCTTCTTCATCTGGCTCCTCTGTGGGAAACAAAAAAATAAAAACCACCTACTTAGCAGGCAAGAGGGAACAGGCAAAAATTCATGAGTGAAAATTAAATTTAAAAAAAAAAATCCTAATTTAAATGAAATCGTTTTTTTCAATCAGCGATATAACTCGTCTTACCTTCAGACTCCATCTCCTCTAACCCTGATCTGGATTTGTGCACGGCCTGATGGGTTTCCATGGTAACCGTTGTCATAGCATGCTGGAAGGATGAGAAGGAGGGGCCAGTGGTGGGCAAGTTCTCCTGGAGGTTCTGTGTCCTCACAGCGCCTACATGTCGCAAATCACATGGCACACACACACACACACAGAGAAGCGGAGGTTTTTCACTCACTGTGCAACTGCTGCTACAACTCACAGCTCATTTTAACGTCTAACAATGTGTGAGAGGTTTGGTCTGTGCAACCATTGGTGCCAGTTCATGTCAAAGCCATGTGGAAATGAACTTGTAGATATCTGAAAATAAGATACAATAGGTAATCTGTCACACTGAAGGTTTAATTTATGGATGAATTACAATATCCTAGCAAGGTAATGTGATGAAACCAAGTCTTTCTGGTGCATTAAAGTGCAGATAAAAAACTCTGACTTAAGAAATGTAATAACACCCAGCAGCATTGAATTTGCAAATTATGTTGGAAATTCAAACATACAATAAGCAACCGTGTTCAAAATGATTCATTCTCAAGCATGTTTTTAGAGTCTACTAGTTCACATCAATGATGAAATAACACAAATTCCAACCAGAGGCTGCCTAGAAGGAAATTATGTTTTATCAAAGTGAAACAAAAAAAAAACAGATCTTTTTAATAGAGGCAATGCATCAATCATGATGATCTGTGGAACTCTAATTCCACTTTTTACAGGGTTTTAAATGCATATTCTCATAGAAATTTAGCATACAGCAAACCAATTACGAAACTGGCAGCTACATCACACTTACGAATTATGACCTTACACTTTGGAACATGGTTGGCAGTAACATGAAGCACATGTGATTAGGAGAAATAAGGCTAAATCCTTGATAGTATTATGGTACATTAATAATTGCTCCATAGAGCATTATTCATTCGTTCTGGTTCTGCCACATCACCTCTCTCAGGATGATCATCCGGCTCAATTCCGGCTCGCCGCTGTGAAACAGACGGGCCCGAGGAGCTGATTGGCTCCGGCAGCTCAGCGCCAGACGTCTGCCAAGGTGACGTCCAGTCTGGCATCAACAAGGGCGGGGCATGCGAGGGACCATCACTGTCTGTCTCCACGGTGACCAGCTGGTCCAGGTCTACCTCTGACAGAGGCATTCCTCCGGTAGCCATGGCAGCAGGAGGCTGAGCACTGCCTGGCACCAGTGTGACCGCTGCCTCTGCTTCGGCTGGTGCCCCCTCTGGTGTGACATCTTCAAAGGGCTCAAAGATTAGAGGCAGAGCTTCTGATGACATGGTGCCCTCTGTGGCTTCATCCTGAGACAGCGGGACCACGGTGTCTGCTGTAATCGTGTCAACACAAGCACAGTGACAGAATGACGGTCAGGATATGTGGCATGGTATTTAATTTCCAAAGGGCAGGATTGTCAGTGAAATACTGTAGTCTAAACAATGTTTTGTGACCATGCTATATAGGTTCATTTCAGTGGGTAAACTAGGTCAAATGAACGAGGACAAGTCGAGGGTCTTGCAGTTTCTGCAGTTTCTCTCTGCTGACAGCGAAAAATATATATGTTTTTGATTGCAAACTAGCAACTGTAGTCAGCATATAGCCTTTTATGACTGAATGCAGCTCTTTCGAACCTCTTTGGACATGCAGTTTTCTCATTAGGAGCACTCGGAGCCGAGTTCACAATGCAGCTAAGACACAATGAAAGGAGGATTGTTTGAAAAAAGGCTTCTTTCCAGATAAGAGGCTACCACGGGGGGGGGGCTGTCACAGGGGAAACTGTTACTGCATATCTCTCAGGCTTTTCCTTTAGTCCAAAGCATTTCTAAAGTAGGCGGAAAAATGCTTATAAAGACTGCAATCCCTTTACATAATGCTGTTTTGGGAATTGCATTTTTTTGTCAGCTTCCTTTCTGTTGGGAGGAAGCTTCATCAAACAGACAAGCCCCAAATGGACGGCACGAACACATATTGGCTCAGACAGACTCCTTTAATCCATTTCCCTTTCCTGCCTCACTGAATAATAACCTGCCTGCTTCTTTACAATAGTCTGGATGAGGAGTGTTGAGGGTGGGAAAGAAAGAGAAGAGGTTTTACGGTGGGTATATAGATAGAGAGAAAGAGGGGTTGAATCCTCCAAAGACTTGTATAACACACCCTGCCACCAGCCTTTTCCTGGCAGTTGTGTGTGTTCTCTTTTTTTTTTTTTTTTTTCAGGCTCGAGTCAGGAATAGAAAGTAATTAGACTGCCACAGGTCCCAGCTGGGGTTCAAAGTGGAGCGTGGAAAAGCGAGCGCCTTCTTTGCCAATCATCAAAGGCAATCTCTGCCACTAGACGTGTCGCTTTCATTTCCGCTTCACTTTTTTAATGAAGCCTCCTGAAACCCTGCAAACTCCAGGACGCCAGAAAAAACAGCTTGTTGTGGAGGGAATTCTTATACGTTGACAATGACTGCAGAGCTTTTATGTTGCACCACTCTGGAGGATTGTGTGTGCCTGACGTTTGGGATTAATGACTAATGAGGGGATAACAGAAAGTTTTACCCTAATAAAAATCCATGCATGATCATTTTCTACCAACATTAATTAAGCTTTTCTAATTTTTCTTGACTTACCTGCACCGGGCCTTGCTGCCTCAGTCCACAGGCTTTCTGGTCCATCCTCTCTGGGCATCAGATTTGGTCCAATTTCAGGTAACAGGGGGTCTGGGAGGGAGGATATTGTAGCTCCACTGTGGCCCCAAATGGACAAAGGTGTGGAGGTCCGAGGGGAGACAAAGACTGAGGGAGGGATGGGACTGTGGGAGGTCAGTTTCTGCATCCGTTCTCCAGGGGTGGGAGGTTCTTTAGAGGACGGCGAGCTCGTTTCTGGGTCTTTATCCTGCAGAGAATCTCCATAACCAGGCAGTTTTGTTCGGTCCTCCCCACCTTGGTCTTTGCTGGCTGTGATGCTCAGCTGTGGTGGCACTGTGGAGGAGGCAAAAAATCCATCTGGAATCAACCTTGTGGTACTCACAGCTCTGTCCAACTGCTTCCTCCCACCTGTAGGACTTAATATAGGCTCATTGGTGACAAATATGCTCTCTTTTTTACCTTCTGGATCAACAGGCAGCACTGAAACTGCCTTCGACTGCCTTTGAGCCTCTCCCATCTCAGAAGTGCTCCCAACCTTCTTTACCTCGCTCCTTTGGCTCCATGCCTCTCCACCAGCCTCACTCGGCCCAGATCTTCCATCAAAGCTGTCCCCGTTTTCTGTCTGCGTCACAGGAGCTGTCCCCTCAGGTCGTCCATGCGGGCCAGCCCCGCCTCTTGCACCTACATTCAGTATCAGGCCAGTCACATGTTCTGTATCTGAGGGTTCAGATTTTACATCTGTGGTGAGCATTGACCCAACAGTTGTTACTGAGCTTGCACACTGTCTGTCACAGTCACTGTCCTGCGCAGGGGTGAAGTTTTGAAGGGGGACAGGGGTTCCATCGACACAGAGACAGAGGAGCCCAGCCAGGAGGAGGCGATGTAGCGTCTCAAACATCAGCATCTCTGTCTCGTCTCAGTGCCTGCTGAGAGCGGACGCAAAATGACAAATGCTAATGAGCTTAACTGAGGAGTGAACAGTCCCTGTCTGCAACTTCAACACTTTGCCACCCAGCCAGCATGCGGACAGGCACAGCAGAGGTGGCGGTGTCAGGGAGGGAAGAGGGGTGACAGGGCACATTACAAAGGTGTGCAACTGCAGATTAAAGGGTCAGAAATCAAAGTGAGGACTCCATATAGCCTGTGATAACCACAGAGAACAGGATTAACTGTGCAGTTCTGCCTGCCTTTGCTTTGATGCTGCAGTTGCACCGTTTTGAATAATTCGGATGAAATTCCTTTTCATCTCAGACTCTTGTGTTCATTTTGTATAAATAGAGGGAAATGCTGGGCGCGCGCGCGCACACACACACACACACACACACACACACACACACACAGGGGGAGTGACAAATAGAGAGAGAGAGAGGGAATCTGACACAGCAATCCTTAGCACCCCTCCGCACTTCACCTATAAATAGCACAAGGTTTTCTATCCTCTAGGATCCTCTACAGATGGATCCATGAATGTTACATTTTCACATTTCACATTTCACATCTCTCCAAAAACAGAGGGCAAATTTCAAACAGGATATATGCACCTTATCAAATGCTGAATTTGATTAAAAACAAAGCAAACATCTGTGTATGGCGCATGTGTTGCTTCACATGATGTGACAGCAATAATCACCTAATAATCAATCACTGCTGTTGGAGAAGGAAGAGAAACGATAGGTATGGTGTTAAGAGGGTGACACCCAGTCTGAGAGAAATCATCACCCAGCCCTGACGATGCACGGTCCAACAATATCACAATACAACCCACTTTCCTGCCTGCGCACCTCCCCTGTAATCGATACAGTTTTAAATCGCTCTCAGCCAGTATGCTCGCGCAGTCCACCACCTGACGACACAATCGCTCGAGCATTTGCACTGTAAACAAATTGCGGTGTTGAATCACATTTCTCCAATCTTGGCTGCACATAATTGCCACACTGGAGCTAATCATAGCCTCACAGACACCAGAACGCGTCCCCCTTAAACCGCACATTCTTGCATATAGAGTCAAATTCACATAGGATAACAATAATAAAAATAAAAAAAAACTGGCTTTACCTTCCAGAGTTCATGACGGATCGTTGTGTCTGTAGGACGCAGAGCTTCTCTTGCAGTGTGCAAATAAAATCTAAAAAAAAATTGCAGTTCGTACGGATACAAATTCAGGATAGTCTGGTGTGGGAAGGAGAGGCTTGTTGTTGTGCAGCTCAGCGTCACTGACTGAAAGTCTCAGTCTTCTCTACGTATGTCCGCCTGCTTCAGAAGTGCTGCCACCAAATGCTTCAAATCTGCAGGATTCCTTCCAACTGGCGGCTTTGACATATGATTTTACCATAAACCGAGCTGTTGCCTTCCAGTGCCAATCTATTCCTTGTTCACATCTGACTCCTTTCATATATGTATTTTCATTGTTTTCCCCAAAAGGGATCATATGAGGCTCCTGGTGGTGCTGAATGGACAGCTCCTTTACCTCAGTTTAAGGGTCGCCTGCTGCTCACAGAGAGCAGAGGGGCCACAGAAGGTTGTTATTGTCCTCGTTTACAAAGAAACGAAATCTTTCACTGTCGGTTTCTTTTGCTGTAACCTAAATATTATATAAAACTTATTCTTTCTAAATGAACAGATTGTAAAATTGATTTAAGTGTAATCAGCTTTGTTACAACAGGGGCAAATGTATTGTATAATGTTATAATATTTTGATACATAGGCTATATACATTTTTGGTAAATTATTTTTATTTACTATTTTAAATGGCATTTATCAATAATCATGATTGATACCTTTATCTAAACTTACATAGTGGTGACACTACACACTGGTTGCTGTCATATTTAACACATTCATTTAGATTAATTCTATACATAACATGTCAAAAATGGAAATCAAAACATATAATTAAACAATCTGTTATGGCCACGTTAAGATTAAGTAATAGCTTAAGTTCAAGGGAAAAGAAAGTTCAAAGAAATAACCTGATTTATTTATTTCTTTAGATAATTCTATTCAATGCTTTACTAATGTAAAATATTGTCATTTGGGGGCTTTTGCAAGCACATATTGATACATATCATTGTTTATGATTAAATCTGTATATATTTCTGTGACCCATTAAAGTTTCCATGCCACCCTCTTGCTTTTTTTTTCTAGAATAGTCCCTGCACATGCAAAAGTTGATTTCGACTTATTTTGAATGGAATTGTGACTCATGTGCAAGTTGACATTCACAGTTAAGTGTATTTTCATATCAGTGGAAATTAGAACCAAAAAATAAACTCAAGCAAAAGGAGCATACATATGTTCAAGATATAGTGGCCTGTTTTGTGTTAGTGAGCACAGAAGGTATCAGTGATTATCCACATGTTCTTACAGTGATTAATTATGCACTCCCAGCTTTTACACTGCACTACGTTGTGAGCAAGAAGACTTGTGGTACTTCTAAAAATAAATAATTGTTTTGTGAACAAGCGCATTTGTTTCTGCTCTGTCCCATTCAATTAGCACAGTTACACCAAAATAGCACTGCATACAAGCAGGTGCACGCAAGAGCGCTTGGTGTATGTAAGTAGTGGTGTATGTGCATTTTTATAATAATCTTAAGTTACATACCATGCAGGTCTGCAAAACTGCAGTTTCAATTGTATGTTACTTTGCAAAAAGTCAACAGTCGTATCAAAGATGCTGAAGGTTTCACTACAGATTAAGGGACTCAAACTGTTGCCATGGATGAGGTGGGATATCTACTGACACTGGATACAGGAAATGTAGAATGGTAATTGTATAACAAGCAAGTAAAATCATTTTGTATTTATTTGTATCAGATAAATGTGATTCATGTGGGACACAGATTTCAGCCTTAATATGAGAACTTTCCACGGACAGCCCAGCAACAGTGGAGAAGGCTTATAACACATTTACATGCAGAAAAAGTTCCGGGGACCCCTTGTGGTGGTCAAGTGAGGTTACACCATCAGCATCCATGTGTCACATCTGTGTAAGTCAATAGTCAGAGAGACAATCGTTATTTGTTTTATGTTACCAAAATTGCAGCCCTTTTATGACAGAGAACTTCTGAAGCAACATTTTGACTCAGTGAAAGTCAATTTATTACAGCTCTTCACTGTTACAACTGTTCCTGGTCTCCCCCCAAAATACAGGGGTTTTCAATGCTTAATGCTTGCTAAGATGATATATGGACAATACACAAGGCGGCATACCAATATATGTGCAATACAATTCAGAAAATAAGGCAAACTGATAGAAAATGTACTTTGAACTTGTCCGTTAAGCCTGCATTTGGAGGATCTTAGATTGAAAAAATTTTGTTTTTTTCTCTTTGTATTTGAAAAGTCTCCATTTTATTGCTTGATCTGGACAGGTCAGGACATTTTACCGGTTCAATAATCGGTAGTCTGATCATTTTGCGCCCATTTTGATCAGGCGGCGGTTCGTGACGTCATCCCGTCTGTGAAGACCCGACCCAGCCCAACAGGAAGACAACAACATCTTCTTTTTATTTTATTCTGTTGAAACGATGCACATTTGTGACCGTCAGCGCTAAAGCAGTGACATTATTGTATTAACAGATTAATAAAATGCCATTATTTGATGGATTGGGAAGTGGAGGAGAGAAGACTGCGATCGTCGTTGACTTAGGAGCCGCGTACACAAAGTGAGTCTCAGTCTTTATATATACATATATAGCCATTCAGTTAGCATAATGTGCTAACACATAACATTACGTTTGTTTGCTTCACTATAACCGTCCACGTCTGGGTACTTGTAGGTCTAATGCGGCGGGTTAAACCCACACTTGATACATATTTGTGTAAACTGGTAGGAGATGATGTGCTAGCGGTGTTAGCCCGGCCAGTGCTAACTAGACAGGTCAGTGTTTAGCTAGCGTTAGCTAATGCCAATTAGTCCAATAAGTAAAGACAAACAACTGCACTGAACGCCATTAGCTTCATTTTGAACACCCTACATGCTCGTATTTTTATCAATCAATTTAAATCTAAAGAGAGCTCAACTTATCTAAATGTTCTAGTTAGTTATAAATCCACAGAAGAGTTTTATTATACTGGTTATTTAAGATGTGATGTTGACTTTCTGTTTGAGTGACCTACATAGTTGTATGTGTTTACTTGGTTACCTGGTAATCTGACTGCTGTCTGCTACTAAAAGTCACTTCACCTAATTCTACCTCATATGCCACACATCTGCACACATTTAGGGTATTTACAGTGAGAACATTACCGCAATCTTTATTGCCACAATAAAATATATAATATATTTCACTGGCAGTGTATATGGCCTCAGTGCTACACAATATATACACACACACACACTGTGCTCTGTGGGACGTATAAAATGTTCATTCAGTTCATTTGTCACCTGTCGGTTTTCCTACTGGACTTTTAGTCAGAAGTGTTGAGATAGATGAAACACTGAGGGCCTGAGGCAAGTCACATGAAGACCAAGAGGACTGTTCTCTTTTAATAATGATGTCTTTGTCTACAGTTACTGTCCCACAACTGTTGACACAGAGCTGCACTGTTATTCTATTTATACGGAAGAAATGAATGAACATATTGGTATTGGTATGCATCATGTGTACATTTGTTTAGTTTGTACACAGTTTACCAGCGTTGGTATAAATATATGTGTAGATATCTTCTCTGCACATCCTCTAGCAGCCCGTCTGACAGTTGCATTTTCTTGCAGATGTGGCTTTGCAGGGGAAACGGGGCCCAGGTTCATAATTCCCAGCGAGATTCGGAAACCAGGACAGCAACAGGTGAGACACCGCTGTGCTTTGCTGAAGGAAGGATGTTTGGAAATTGTGCAATATGTTAATGTTTTATGTAATGTCTCACTTTCAGGCCGTCAAAGTGGTTCAGTACAACATCAACACAGAAGAGCTTTATGTCATCCTCAAAGAGTTTATCCATATACTGTACTTCAGGTGAGACTCTGCTGCATTAGTTATTCATTCTAAGTGTTAAACATCCTTTTTACAGAACATATACTGCTTCTAGCTCAAAATGGGAGCGGTCCAGATCAAAGATTGTCTTCCTATTTGTCTCAATCAGGCACCTGCTGGTGAACCCTCGCGACAGAAGAGTGGTCATCATCGAGTCCATCCTCTGCCCGTCTCACTTCAGGGAGACGCTCACCAAGGTTTTCTTCAAACAGTTTGAGGTATGTTAACTCCACACAGATCAGTGTTTTATAGACCCTGTAGGACATCGCTTATTTAATATACTTCTTTTTGAAAAAGAATTGCTTATAAAACGGACTGCCACAATTTCCCACACAGACTCAAGTCTGACAAGAGTAAACACACATCTTTTTAGTGCGTAAGTAGTAAGTGTAGTAAGTGTGTTAAGTGTTATTCTTTGATTCTTGGTGTTTTCCAGGTGCCGTCCGTGCTTTTTGCCCCAAGTCACCTCATGGCCATCATGACTTTGGGCATCAACTCTGCTCTGGTGATGGACTGTGGCTACACAGAGACGTTGGTCCTTCCTGTATCCTTTTCCTGTTATCTTGGAGTCTTTGACTCCTTAAAGAAATGGATGTATTTGCTTTCTTTTGGGGAATTAAGTGAAAGGATAAGGTGAGATTTTCACAGTACAATAACTGTCTCAGAAAATGTCACAGTATAAGGGTATACAGTATTACAACATTATTATTATTATTATTATTATTATTATTATTATTATTATTATTAGTGTTTTGTAAGTTTGAGCCATGTGTTTATTAAGGTCTGAAATAAAACAAGATGAGAACTTAAATATTCCCAGCACTTTCTGTGATGTAGTATGCTTGCTTATCATAGGAAGTAATAAGAAATGACTCTTTACATTATATTGCATACAATTGCATAAATACCCCGCATTTTCCATCGCATTTTTAAGAAAACGTGCCACATAATCAAGGATTTTTGGTATCAGTACAACACTGCAGCCGATGATATCAGTTTAATCTGTGCTAGTTAAATGAAGAGACTGGGTTTTGTTCAGTAAGTAAATCCGCCAAAGCTCACTATGCATTAACCAACTGATTATGAAACCACAATGTCTTGTTTTGTTTTTCTGAATTTTTAAATAATACAATGTGTAGTTGTTGTAAGGAATACTTGTCAGAGCTAGGTTAGCTGCTTTGTGCTAAAATAGCTTAATCTGACTTGGTAAGTCTGCTGTGCACAAATAGGTGTCTGACTTTCTGATGTGTTATTTTGTTGATATTTCTGAATTTTAAGAAAAGGAGATTTTTTTTTTTAGTAAACTTTGAGGTTGGGAAGTGTGCGTTACCACCTTAACTGTGAAATCAGGTTTATGAGTGCACTCCTATATTGCCAGCTTGGGAGGCTTTGCCTTTGGGAGGTAAAGCAATCCATAAGTAAGTAGCTCTCTGACAGATTTAAGAGGAGTATGTGACTTGCATGTTGGTGTACTATAAAAAGAACACTTATATTTCACACACTGGTTTGTGCTGATTGAAA